CTCACCACCTGGTGCACCAGAATGAAGCCCAGGACCGAGGAGGTGGCCGTCATCCCTGCCTTGTCCCCAGCCACGGCAGGTGGGCAGTGTTTCCCACTGAGCATGAAGAAGGCACACGATGTGTCCATTTACACAGCGTTTTAGAAACAATAGTATTACCTGCCGAATGCTTTTTCGTTATTTACATGATTATCTTTTTCTCCATGGAACTGCTAAAGTAGTGAATTACATTAAGAAGTTCAGCCATATTTTTGTCTCGGTATCTTAGGCTGACTTCATAGAAAGAATTGAGGGAGGTTTTCCTGCTTCTATATTCTCTGCAACTGTTTAAATGCAACTGGAATTGTTTGTTCCTTGACGGTTTGAGAGAACCAACTTGTGAAACTGGATTTTGCTCCCTTTTACTGAAAAGGAAAGAACTCTTTTCTTTTTTTTTTTTTGCATTTCCCCCCAGCTTTATCAAGGCATAATTAACAAATGAAAATTGTGTAAAATTGGTTATGTGTGTGTCTTCCTTTTTTCTGGATTTGGCTACCCACTAGCATGTTTATTGTTTGACCCTCCAAAAGAACAATCAGCTTTTCAGTGTATATCCTAATTCCACTGTTTTTCTGTTCCCTCATTCACTAATGTCAGCTTTGACTTTCCTTGTCCGTTCTTCCCGGGTTGGGTGTGTATGCACCTTGACCCCTCGAGATGGAGGATTCACTCATTTACCCGGGATTATCTGGGATGAGGCTTTGTGATCATACGGTAAAGCATTAGGACAACAGAGAAACTTCCTGGTTGAAGAGTTTTGGATACAGGGAGGCCCCTGGCTGCAGGGTGGTCTCTTTTCTGCTGTGTTTCTGGTTAGTGGGGAGGGGCAGGCAGTAAGTTGTGAAGGGGTGAAAGCATGGGGAAGCACATTGGGAGATTGTACTGGAGTGTGTCTGATCCAGCTAAGCGTCAAAATAAAGCTGAAGGTTTCCTGACAACCTCCCTGTCTCTAGGTTACAACCAAACCTTCACAGGTGCAGAAACTTTGGGGAGAAATGGTGGTCATTTTTCACCCAAGATTTCAGATGTGGGTTGTCTTCAGAAGGATGGCTTACTTATGTTGTTGCTGAGTAAAGCAAATCGGGAGAGAGACAGACAGAGAGGCAGACAGGACAGAGGGAGAGGGAGCTCAAAAAGGGAAGTCAGACACTGGAGACAGACAGGGTTGGGCGTTGTGGGTGGGGGTACTGGGATGACCCAGTTCAGGGAGGGGAGCCAAGACCCAGGCAGAGAAAGATGGCACAGAGAAGACAGCCAGGAAATGGTAGGGACTAGAATTAGGCCTTGGGCACAGGAACATCATCTTGGATAAAGGCTGAAACAGATACTTACTTATTAAGCACTTGATATGTGCCAATTTTAGTGATTTGTATTTTTCTAGAAAATCACACATTATTCAGTTTTGCACATTACCTGTAGAAAATTTCTACAAAGTTCCATCTTGATTTCTTTTCATTTTCTCTGTATCTGTGGTTTTCTCTTTTCATTGCTTAATTAAGCCAGAGGGTTCTCTATTTTTATTAGATTGAATCTTATGAATTATGAATAGGAATTATGATATTCCTATTTTCTTGGTCAAAAACCGTTGAATATCTGCAGTTTCATATGGTTGAACCTAATGCTATTGGCCAGACATTGGACGCCATCTCATTGAATGCCCCCAAATGCCATGTGAGGCCTACCACTTCACAGATGAGGCATCTGAAGCTCAGAGAGCTTAAGTAACTTGCCCCAGAACACACAGCTGCTGTGGAACAGAGACAAGTCATAAACCCAGATTCTTCTTAGGCCCTTTCCACCTCACCTTAGCAATAGCTGCTGAGCATTCAGTGGAAGCCACACCTGTGACAGGTGATGCAGGCACCTGCGACACACACACAAGAGCAGGGTAGGGATGTGTCCTCAGTGTGGTGACCAGGGTTGGCTTCACCCACACTCACCCTCCCTGCTCCATCTCTGAGAACTGTTTGGGAAGATCAGAAGTAAATCTTGGAAACAAAAAATGAGCTTCCTGAAAATTAAGTCCATAGGAGCTGGGCAGACTGCAGTGAGACACAAGATGAACTGGAGGTCGTCATCAGTAAACTGTGTGTGTGAATGATTTACCATGTGTCCAGTGTCCTTGTGAACTCTCTGGACTCTTTCTGCCTTGGGATGTATTCCCTTGGTGGAAACAGACTAGTGTGTGAGCCATTCTTCAAGTCCCTGGATGCTCAGGGGTGGGGGTGGCCCTCGGGGGGAGCAGGGCCCTTGGGGGAGAGTTCATACAGTCCTCACCATTTGGAGGTGGGAGGCCCCTGTTTGGTGATGGGTGGGAGAGGCAGCAGAAAATGGGGCTGGAATCTGGAGGAGGCGGCTGCTGTGATCAAAATCTCTGTGGGGAATGCCTAGGGTGCCTAAATGGTTTTCTTGGCTTCACTGGAGATGGATGGTAATTATAGATTTGCTTTGTTTATGTCACCGTATTCCTTTTATGTTAATATGTGAGCGCAAATTAGTTGGTAGTTTAAAACCTATACATGCTTAAGGTACTCTACAAGAAGATATGTCAAAGAAATAATCAATCCTCCCATGTTTTCTTCCACCTGCTACCTCTATAGCTTTTCTTCTTCCTTCCTAATTACAACCCTTAAATAGAATTCGTGCCTCATATCGAATTTACCGAGTATCATAATTCCTCCAGGTGGTAAAGATACCTCGAGACAAGTGCTGGGCATAGAAGCCACAGGGCATAAATCTGCAAAGAAGTAAAAAGCTAACCTTTGCAAACAATATGGCTTCTCTCTCACTTACCAACTTTACATTTCCCTGTATGGCCCCGGAAGATGACTGGTTAGCCAGAGACGGGTAAGATTCCTCAAGGGAGGAACAACCTAAGACAGGCACAGTCGCAGGGGGGCCATCAGGTGAGAATTTGGGGATCAACAGAGGTGAGGCTCAGAACCTCACCCCCCCTGCTTTGAGAGAAATCTTCTGCATCCGTGGATGTCTTGCTGCCCTTGTCTAGCCTGGATTAATACTTAGTCCATAGGCACACACCTGATCATCTACATTTGCTCTCTTACAGCACTAAACTATGTTTTCTACCTTTATCTTGCATCTACCTACCACTTCAGCATTTTATTAAAAATAAAAATAATAATAATAATAAAGGGAGAAATGTGGGATCAACATATAAATCAAGTATAAAAATCAAATGAATATTCATATTTGACCTGATTGTTTATAGTTCATAATGCGTGATCAAAACCGTAAGTTTCTGTGATGACTGCCCTTGTACTGTTCACCATGTAAGAACTTATTCACTATGTAAGAATTTGTTCACCATGTAAGAACTTGTTCATTATGCTTCAGAAGATTGGAGACTGACGAGAGCTAGGCTTGAGATGGATTAATGAATGTGCATTGAGCATTGACCCCCCTATACAGAATTTTATTGTTGTTAACAACCATTTGATCAATAAATATGAGAGATGCCCTCTCAAAAAAAAAAAAAGTCTCTGTGGGGAACCGAGGGAGGACATTTCAAGGGTGATCTGGCTGATGGTGACCACTAATAAGAGAGGGGAGAGCTTTGGAGGGCGACCCCCCAGATGCCCCTGCCCCAGGCCCATGTGTGAGGACCTGGTACTCGACTGTGTTTTCCAGGCTGTTGGTCTCTGAGCGGCCCCAAGTCCGTGATGGGCACTGTCGGGGGATCCCTGAGTGTGCAGTGTCAGTATGCGGAGAACTTCGCAAAAAATAACAAATACTGGTGCAGGAACTCATGCTTGTCACCGTGGAAGATTGTGGAGACCACAGGGTCAGAGAGAGCAGGGCGGAAAGGCCGCGTATCCATCAGGGACCATCCTGCAAACCTCACCTTCACAGTGACCATGGAAAGCCTCACGGAGGGGGATGCAGGCACCTACTGGTGTGGGATCGATACACCATGGCTTGACAGATTTGTGCGAGACCCAACCTTCCAGGTTGTGGTGTCTGTGATCCCAGGTGAGCCATACACACTCCTACCCAGGGCTGCCTGAGGAGGCTCAGGTCAGATTAGTTGAGGCAGAAATCAAATGGGAGACTTGTGTGTGTATATGTGTATGTGTGTGTGTGTGTGTGTGAAAGAGAGAGAAAGAGAAGAAGACAGAGAGTCAGGGAGACCTCCTGGAATTGCTGGCACCTCTGCTCAGTCTTGAGGGATAGGAAGGTGCCTTCAGGTGGAGTGCCACAGAGACAGCAGAGTGTGCGGAGGAGAGAGCGCGCCAGGAGTCAGCCCTGCAGAACCCAGAGCTGCATGGGGGATGGTGGGGAGCTGAGCAGAGAGGCAGGGGGCACGGGGCATGGTGAAGGTGTTGTGCACAGTGGGAGATCTAACAAGTGACCTGTCACATTACAGTTCAGACAGACCTCTCTGGCAGGCAGCATGTGGCTGTGGCTGGAGGGGACAGGGCTGGGTGCAGAGGCCACTTAGGGCTCCCCGGAGGGCCCTGACCTTCCTCTGCAGGATGGGATCAGAACTGTTGGGGGCTGTACCAGTACCCTGTTTGGAAATGCTGCCCTGGCCCAGGACCCTCCGTCCTGCCTGAGTAGACTTGGTGTGAAATCAAACCACAAAGGTATTGATGAGTAGTGGGAGAGTCAGAGAGCTTCCCAGGTCTGATTCGTGCTTCTGCACCAGCAGCAACGACAGCCCCGCCCATGGGTGTCCCCAGCAAGGCCACGAGCCCGACAACCACAACAGCACTTACAGTTATGTCATCCCCTGCCCCCGATGGAGGGAATGTCACCCACCATGCAAGCAACCGGAAGGAATTCCAGCAGAAGCAGGGCCTCAGGTGAGGCTGCCTGTCCCTGTGTCCTGGAGGTGGGCCTTCCCTCAGGAGGAGCTCAGGCGGACACCCCCTGCCCTGGCATGTGGTCCATTTGGGACGGGAGTCACACTCCTGCTCGCTGGGGACCTCTGTGCACCAGGTCCGTCTGTATCTCTGATGGGCAGACCTGCCTGGGCTTCCGGAGCTGGGGAGATGGTGGGGGGGCGGGGGGGCGGGAGGGCTGGGAAGTAACATGTAGTGGGGCTGACCATATCCTGCCAGGCATGTGCTACATGCCTCACAAGAATGTTCTCATTTGCTCCTCACTACAACCCTGTCCTGTTACTACTTTCATTTTACAGATGAGTAAACTGAGGCTCAGAGAAGTTAGCAGTTGACCGTATCATGGAGCTACAGGAGGCAGTCTGGGCTTCCAACCCAGGTTTACAAGATTTCAAAGTCTTGGGTTCTTCCTTCTAAATTTGTGATTCTTGACCTTTTTGGGGTCACAGACTCCCAGGAGAATCTGACATTTTTTGTCTCTCTCCCCAGAAAAACACATGCAGTTATAAATCATTTCTGAGGTGCACAGAAATTCTGAGACCACCTTGTGTCTGGCACTGCCCACCTGGAGTTAGCACAGACCCCCAGGTTAAGGGCTCAGTCCCGTAAAACTGCCTGACTCAGATGCCAGAGCTCTGGCAGATCCCCAGGCCATCATACTTCTGATTGACTATGGGTGTGGGGAACCCCATGACTCCCTTGGGTTCAATAATAGGCTAGATAACCCACAGAATGCAGGAAAACACTATACTTTCAGGTGTGGTTTTATTATAAAAGATGAAGGTCAGGACCAGCCAAATGAAGAGACACAATGGGTGAAGTCTGGGGGGTTCCTGAACACAGAGTTTCTGAGCATGTCACTCTCCTGGGACATCAGCATCTTTACCGACCAGGGTGCTCCCCAAAGCTTTGGTGTCCAGAGTTTATACTGGAGCTTCATTACACAGGCGTGATTGGTTGAATCTTTGGCCATATGATTGAACTCAATCCCCCACCCCACCTCCACTCCCTGAAGCTCAGGCTGGCTCAGAGCCGCAAATCTGTAATCACATGGCTGGTCCTTGTGGTGCCCAACCCCCCTCCTGAGTCATCTCATATCTTAGTAGAAACTTGGGTGAGATCCAAGGGGCTTGTGAATAATGAAGGCACACCAATTACTAGGGAAATCCCATGGATTTAGAGCCTCTGTACTGGGGGCCAGGGACAAAGGAAGTCCAACTATTTATTATATGACACCTCAAAGGCCTTCCCACAACCCTAGTGACAGTCTTAATACCAGGCAAGGTGAAATTCAGGCCCTAAACACCCCACTTCCAGAAACTGATTCTGTGGATACATACACAGGGGGCAAAGCTAGGTTTTGTACAGCCTGAAGCCTGTGCAACGTGGTGGGGTTGAGGGGCATATTTATGAAAAAGACTAAAACCCTGTGAATGCAAACAAGGCATGCAGGAAGGGGCCCAAGCAAGGCTGGGGCTCAAGAAAGTTGTGTCAACTTCCCTGTAAATCTGCTATTGCTTGTCCACATGGGAAATAGCACTACAAAGTGATTTATTGCAGCGACGTTTATAATTGCAAGAGACTGGAAGAAATGCCCCTTAAGAAGGAAGAGTTAAATAAAAGATGGTCCGTCGGTGCAATGGAATGCTACACCGCTGGGAAAAAGAGCAGGGAACTCCTTTGTGTACTGACAAGGAAAGATCTCCAAGATGTATTGTTACGTAAAAAAAAAAAAGTTTTTATACTTACCTCTTTTGTGTGAAAAAAGGAAGAAAATAAGGTGCATCCGTGTCTTCTTGTATCTGAATAAGGACCCTCTGTAAGTTTCTTAAGTAAATCGTGTGTGTCTGTGGAGGGATCGTGAACTGGGGTATGTGTAGGAAGGAGACTTTATGCTGTCTCCTATCTATTGAGAAAAAAGAGGGAAGGCAGGTCCCCAGCCGGCCACACCTCCCTGTGTCTCCCCCTAGCCTCCAAGTGCTACTCCCCTTGTCAGCGATCCTGCTGCTCCTGCTGGGGGGAAGCACGCTGCTGGCCTGGAGGATGGTTCAGAGACGCGCCAAAGGTGAGTCTGCTCCCTCCGCCCCCCCCCGCCCCAGGGTGGGCAGGCCCTGACCACACTCTCACATCCTCCGGGTCTGTGTCTTTGTTCCCCAGAATGGCATTGAATGCATACCCACAGACCACATGTCCTGGGTGGCCATGGGGGGCAGAGGCCAGAGGAGGTGTCCCTCATTTGGCGGACACAGGCTGCGAAAGGTGGCACCCCAGCAGGAGGCCTTTCCCATGGTGGGGCCTTGGGTGGTTGCCCTGTGACGTTCCTCTTCTATTTAAAGCACTTCCGTGATCTCCCACACCCTCTAGTCAAGACCCTCCATGATCTGCCCCTCCCCACCGACCCCGTGCGCTGTTCTAACTTCCTGTAACTTGGCAAGAGCCACAGCCTCAGTCTCTCCAGCTTCTGCTCTGGACACCTGGAGGACCTCCATGTCCTCTTTCCCTGGCCCCCTCCTAGTGGGTCCTAGACTTCCTTTCCTCTGAGACCTTTTCCTGGCCCCCAAAGAGGGGGTCCTCCCCAGGTGTACCTCTATGCCTTCACTGACTGTCACAAATTGTCACCACCTGCATCCTTGCCTGCCTGCCTTCCCCCACCCCACCCCCGCCCATGTAACTCCTTAATATCAGGGACGGTGGCTTGAAAGGCGCACAATCAGTATTTTTTGAATTAATATATTATGTAGTATCTCCAGCCACAACAGGCACCCCAGGCAGCTCCAGGCTCCTGTGGCCCAGCTGCTCTGCTCTGAGCTCAGATTTAAAGAGTAAACACGTGTGGTGCACCCTGTCAGGCACTCAGCGAGTAGGTGCTCAACAAACACTCAACGAGCAAATTAAGCCGATGGAGGAGCAGGGGAAGGAGTGAGGCTGTGGCCTTTTTGCTGGCTGGGGGCCTGGCTGGCGCGGGGAAGCAGGCTCCTGCCAGAGATGCAGGGTGAGCCTTACACGTCTTTCCTGCTCCGAGAGCTCAGAGGACATGAGCAGAAGGTTCTCAGGGCCACCCATGTCTAGCCTTTCAAAGCTGCAGGGAGATGGGGGTTGGGGCACAGAGGTTCCTCTTTCCACCGCAGTGGCAGCGCTAGCTACTGACTGAACTGCTACCTGGGCCCTGGAGCCTGCTGGGCCCTTGGCGGGGGTGGTGGGTGGGGGCCAGGGGTGACCCTGCCTTTAGGAGAGAAGTCGGCCTGGACACATCTGCTTGATGCAGGGGAAGCGAACCACTTCCTCGTCCCCATCTGCTTCCCCCGTAGTACCGCCTCCCCAACAGCCTACACATGGGGGCTGCTGACCACGTGAGGCTTTTCCCAGCCTGACTGCCTCAGATCTGTGGGTCCCAGCCTTTCCTCGCTGCCCTTTCACCTAGAAAGTCTCCCCTTTTAAAAAAGGGATATGCAATTGTTGCAGAAAATTTCAAAAATAAGTAAAAGCACTGAGAAGGAAATGAATTAACCATACATGAACATGAAGCCCTCAGCCCCCAAGAATGCTGATGTCTGTCGCGTGTCCTTCCAGCCCCTCCCGGCGCCTCTTGATGAACGCGTGGTGTCTTCGAACGGTTGCTTCATACCGCAACCCCTTTCCTAAATCATTTTCTTTTGCATTTAACATACTGTATCATCTTTCCTGCTATTCAATATTCTTCTAAAAATCCCTGACTGCAGATTCCCCCGTGTGTGCCTGGATTCCATCCTCTGTCACAGGAGACAGGCTTTCTGTTCCAATGTCCTGACTCCCTCCCAACATCTGCAAGTCCCCTTCTGCCTCCGGCCTCAGTAGGAGCTGTCTGCACATTGTCTGCTTCTCTCCCCTCAGCCCTACACCTGCCCTGTCACACCCCTCACAGTTCCTCCCGTCAGTTCACGCCTCTCATGCACTCCATTCACTCGCTCACACAGCAAAGCTGTTCTGAGCACCTACTGTGTGCCAGGCTCCGTGCTGAGGTCTGGGGACACTGTTGTGACCAGGGTAGACTGGGTCCCCTTTCAGTGCCCTCCTGCCTAGCTGAACTTTCTCGTTGCCGTGATCCTTGCCGGTGATGTAGGCGCCCCCTCCGTCCCGTCAGAACACCTGCCCCAGCCCAGAAGAGGGATGGTGGTCCCCAGGGGGCCGGAGCAGATGACCCCCAATGACTTCTAGTGGTCTCCTGCAGTTCTAGGTCTCTGCAAGGACAGCTCCTTTTATTTCTTTCTTTATTTAAAAAATTGTAGGGCTCGTTAAAACACAGATATGCTGAACCCCATCTCCGGGGGTCTGATTCGGTGTGTCTGCAGTGGGGCCTCTGGATCTGCATTCTTTTTACTGTGGTAAAAGCATGTACCATAGAATTTGCCATCTTAACCACTGTAAAGTTGGCACTTGGGTAGTGTTGAGTATGTCCGCACTGCCACGGAGGAGATCTTCAGAATCTGGCATCCCGGCGGCAGGTCCTCCTACAGAGATGCCTTTGATTTCCTGTCTTCTCCCACCTGGGGACACTCACTCTGATTGATTGTTCTGAGAACTAGCTTTGTTGGGCCATGCTCCCGCAGCTAGAGCCTTCCTGCTTGTTCACTTATTCACTCATTCACTTATTCATTCATTTCTTCGTTCAGTAACGCACCTGCTCAGCGAACCTTGAGTTCCTACCGTGCTACAGACCTGAAGCGATAGGTCCCCAGCGCTGAAGTCTCTGGGGAAAGGCCTTCTCCACATGGATCGCGGGGAATCCCGTCCTCGCTGTGTCCTGGATTCAACCTCCTTATTCTCCTCTTGGTTTTTTTAACAGGTGAGAATCAGCAGCCTCCCCAGAACTCCAGTCAGGTAAGACAGGCTGCCTGCCGCAGGAGGTGTTGGGGTGGCCGGCTGGGAGCACGGGGCTGTTGGTGTGTTGGGCCGCCCCATGGGCCAGTGGAGGTCTGGATGGATCACTGATGCATGGAGCAGGGTGCTTGCCCAGGGCAGGGAGAACTCGGCCTGGGAAGTCTGGTGACGGGTCTTGTCTCAAGCTCTGCCCAGTCTGCTCTGGCCCCCAAGGGAAAGTGGAATGAGGGAGGGCCTTCCCATGCTGTTCCGAGCACACAGAGGAGCAGGGACAGAGGTCCCTCTGGGCTGGACCACAGAAGGGGCCTGTGGACACCTGCCAAGCCCCTGCACCCCCTGCGCACCCCAGGCTGCCAAGCACACTGAGCCATGCTATGCAAATCTGGAGCTGCAGATGAGGTCCCTGGGGGCACAGCCCATGCAACCGATGCAGCCAGAGGTGGAATACAGCATAGTGGTGAGCACGGGGGTCCAGGCCCCAGCATGGGGACCCTGGACTATGCCAGAGGCATCACCTTGGGGGTGGCGGTGGGCAGGGAGGGAAGTGAGGGGCTGGCTTGGTAAACTTGTGCCACTCCGGGATGGGGCCACACAGCAAATGTGGCAAGTTAGACTTTGCCAGAGTTTTGTGTCATTGCAGCTGGGGGTGGGGTGGAAGATGAAAGGCCTATTGGGATGGTCGGTGATAGTCAATAGTCAATAAAGTACAGCATTTATTAAGCACCTACTATATACCATATACCCAATGTTAAAGTCTGCAATATTTCACTGGTTTGGTCCATTATCTCTGTGGCATCAACTCTGCTTTTCAAGTTTTTATCAATGCCCCAAATTGGTCGTACTTAGGCACAGACCCTGTAACGTGGAATAATGGCAGAGGCTGCTCCCCAGGGCCGTGACCCACCCATTATTGGAAGAGTGCAGGCAGAGGCTGGGGACAGAGGTTGGAGTAGATGAGCATTTGATTTGGCCCCGGGACTAGCAACATCCTTGTTTTTCTAACTTGTTGACTAACCATCTCAAGTAGATGCCAGGAACCCTGGCTGTGATGCCTGGGACTTCCTGCTGTTTCTTGCCCAGATGGGGTGGAGCCGGTGGGTGGGCAGGACCTTGGAGCCCAGTCTTTGTGAGAGAAACAGGCCACAACAGCCAGGAAAGAGCCCCCACATTGGGCCTCTTTAATGCCCCTCGGGGTCCCTTTCTTCATCCTAAGCTGGGGGTCTGTGCCCCCCCACCTCTCCCTGAGCCTCCTGTCTCTCTCTCTGCAGAGGGCCCCCAGGGAAGAACTTCACTACACCTCAGTGGCATTTGACTTTCAGAGTCAGGATTCCAAGGCCAGCAGGATTCGCTCCCAGAAGGCCCCAGCACTGGAGCCCGAGTACAGTGTGATTAAGAAGACGTAAGCCTGTGTCTCTGGCTTCGACAGTCATCTGGAGGTCTCTGTGGGCCACAGGAAGCCAGGGCCAGCGCCCCCAGCCCTCACCCACATCCCCCTCAGCCTGCTCCCCTTGATGGTGACCTTGCAAGGCAGCTGGGCTCCTGCAGCTGTCCCTCTGGTACCATCAGACCGGCTGGCTTCACTGAGGACTGGCAGCACTGGGTTCTGGGGAGGACCTGTGGGGAACCCCCTTCCCGCTGACTCTTGGCGTATCCTTCCTCTTCTTTGCCTCATTCCAGCTCTGTGTGTGGAGGGCAGGAGCTCAGTCCTATTTGGCTCCCGGAAAAGAACGTGACTCACGTAGGATGGTACCTACGAATCGCTGTGTAAATCACAGCCCCGTGGAAAAGTCCAGGATTGCTGGGAAAGTAGGGAGAACCGGCAGAGAGCCAGAAAGATGCAAAGGCACCAAGACTGGTCTCCTTTAAGCCACAGACAAGGCAGCTGAAGCCCAGAGGAAGCAAAGGCTTGCCCGTGGCTCCAGAACCAGAGGCACATTCCTTTGGACTTCTTTTAATATGACAGATATCAATGGAGTTTAAAATATCTTAAGACAGGAGAAAAAAAGTTATTTAAACAATGCCTGCTATGTGTCTACAATTCTCTATTAAAGAAAATTGCTTCCTTTCAAAGGCTGAGTAATATTCCATTGTACATCTGTAGCTCATTATGCTCATCCATTCATCTGTCGATGGACACATGAGTTGCTCCAGTGCTTTAGCTGTTGTAAATCATGCTGCTATGAAGGTTTATAAATGACTCTTTGAGACCCTGCTTTCAATTCTTATGGATATACATCCCAAAGTGGAATTGCTGATTCATATGAAAAGGATATTTTTAATTTTTGAGAAACTGCCACACTGTTTTCAACAGCAATTTACATTCCCACCAACAGTGTACTAGGGCTTCGATTTCTCCACATCCTTTCCGACTCTTGCTTTCTTTCTGTTTTATTTGATAGTGGCCATCCTAACGGAGGTGAGACGATACCTGATTGTCATTTTGATCTGCATTTCCCCAGTGACTAGCGATGTTGAGCATCTTTTCACATGCTTATTGGCCACTGGATGTCTTTGGAGAAATGTACATTCAAGTTCTTTGCCCACTTTTGAATGAATTTTTGTTGTTGCTGAGTTTTAGCTGTCTAAATATTCTAGTTATGAATCCCTTTTCAGATAGATGACTTGCAAATAATTACTCTCATTCTGTGGGTTACCTTTTTACTCTGTTGATAGTTTCTTTTGATACACAAAACCTTAACATTTTTGTGAAGTCCAATGTATCTATTTTTTTCTTGTGTTGCTTGTGCCTTTGGAGTCATAGCCAAGAAATCATTGTTCATTACAATGTTGTAACACTTTGGTCCAGCGTTTCCTTCTCAGATTTTTATAGCTTCAGGTCTTTAGGTCTTTGATCCATTTTGAGCTAATTTTTGTATATGTGTTAGGCAAGGGACCAAATTTATTGTTTCGCATGTGGATATCCAGTTTTTCCAGAATGATTTGTTGAGAAACCTGTCCTTTCCCCATCAAAAGATCTTGACCCCTTGTCAAACATCATTTGACCATGTACACAAAGGTATATTCTAGACTTTTTTATTCCTTTGGTCTATATGTCTGACTTGATACCAGCATCACTCTCTTTTAATTACTGCCTGTTACAGTGGCTGCCCTTTGAGAGTCCTTAATATCACTTCCCAACAGTGGGTCTCAGATGGGACTGTCCCAGTTTTCCAGAGAAGGTCTAACAGCACGAGGGAGCAGGCTGGCTGCCCATCTTCTGTTCCCAGAAGTCTTGTTACCTTACTCTGCACAGATTTGCCCAACTCCCTTTCAGGAAGCTCTGCATACCGAAGGGCATTGGGAAAGGCAACTGCTGCCAAGCTATATGTTTTTTAAAGTTCTGTTATAGTCATGCTCCAGGGCTCCTTGCAGACGAGCATCTTATCATTGCACCATGAAGATCAGCAGCCTGGTGACTCTTTCCCGAACAGAGAATGCTCTAGGGTGATTTGTTAGGAAATACTGCAACTTATATTTTACTTGATTTGATATTTTATTTATTAAAAATTAAGTAATGTGTTACATGATTCAAAACTCTTAACTTACAGGGAAATATGCAATGAAAGGGAATATCTTCATTATTCCTGTCCCAGTCATCCAGAGATAATGTTAATATTTCTTACGTTTCTTGCCTGAGATATTTAATCATAGAGCATACCTGTACACAGCATATATCTCTATCTACTTACCCGTCTATCTATCATCTCTTTGTCTATCATATATATGCACATATATATGCCTGACCTTCAGTTTCCTCATCTATAAAATGGGGAAAAAACACTAACTCTTCGCAGGTTTGTGGCGAGGATAAAACGACGTAGCAGGGTACTGAAGTCACAGAACACAGCACTACAAATGCAGCTGATATAAAATGCATCCCAGCCCGCAGAGTTTGCATCTGTCCGTGTTACCCTTTACTCCCCAGGCCTCCAAGCCAAACCATCATTTCCTAAACTCGCCTCTGCCAATCCTGTGACATTTGAGCAAAGTGGCGCTGAAGATGATGGATTAGAGCCTTAACCTGAAAAGAGGAATCTGTTAACGCTGAACTGTCACCTCCGGGTGGGATGGGGGAGTCAGGGGAGCTCTTTCTTGTCCTAGGGGGCTGTCCACTGCCCTCCTCTCCCCCTGCGACACCCCATCCACAGCCTGAGCCCACAAACACACACACACACATATGCAAACACACACACGGAAAACAAAGAAAAGTGCTTTGTGCTGGGAAAATAGTTGGGAAATGCTAAGCGATGCCTTTTTGCCATTCCTGGTTGTTGCTTGTATTCCACTCCGTCTCCCTGGCCTCCTGCCTCCACTGCTTCAGGGAGGACACGGCGCAGCAGAGAGCAGAGTAGAGAGGTTGCTTGCTTTTGTAGTTCCAAGATCTTCAAAGAGGAAGGAGGAAGAGGAAAAAATGTGCCCAGACCACAGATTTGATAGAATGGTGAGGAGCCGGAGAAAGCCTTCCAGCCTCGGACCCGAAAAGGATGACCTGCACCGACAGGGGCTGGGAGAGGGAGGGTGTGGGTGGGTCCAGGTTGGCCCCAACTTGGAGTTGACAACGGAACCAGCACAAAGACCCACACGGTCCAAACTGGGGTGGCCACTGGCCGCGGGTGGGCAGGAGCTTTTGAAATGTGCTGGTCTCAACTGACATGTGCTGTGAGTCTAAGAAGATTTGGGACTGATAAGAGAAGGTGAAACATCTCATGGATAATTTAGCATAACGATTGCGTGTTGAAGTGATAACATTTTGGATAAATTGGGGTAAATAAAATATTTAACTAAAATCAATTTCTCTTCTTCCCTCCCTCCCTCCCTCCCTTCTTCCTCCCTCCTTCCTTCCTTCCTTTCTTTTCTTGGACTAGGTGGGGACTTGAGGATTATTCACACAATGGAATGATTTTACTGCAGTGAAAACAGATTACCTTCTTTAGTTCACAGAAGAAGAATCTTGGGCCAGAGACATTACCTGAAATAACAAAAGCCACTCAGGTGGCTAATGGAAAATCTAAATCTTGCATCCAGGACTCCTAGAGCTCAGTGCTTTAAAAAAACTCTTTATTCTGAAACAACTTCAAACTTACAGAAAAATTGTGAAAACAATAGAAAGAATCCTTTACCCAGATTCACCTGTTTTTTCTAAGTATTTTGTCACGTCTATTTTATTATTGTGTTTATATCTGTGCATAATTTTTTTCAGAGCTGTCTGTGAGTAGGTTGCATACAGAATCTCTACTGGAGTAAGTCTGATACACCCAGGTGCCACGGTGCAAGTCCCCCCAAGCTGGGATTTTCTTTTGTGCCAAAATCCAGATGCCCCAGTCAAAATTTGCAGGATTAAACCAGGTTAGGTTAATTATCAGCATATTCACAACTGGACCGAGGAGTTGGAATGTATTTCTAAATTAGTCTGAGTCCTTTAGAAAGATAACCCAGGTCGGACCTACCCAGGGTTTAGAAAATGACTTCAGGGATATGCTTGTTTTTAAACCTTACATTTCTGCAAGTCTATTGTTTGGGTGAACTTGATGTGGCTCAGCCTGGGAGCAAGACATAGGCATTGGTCAGCCGTGTGTCTCCACCCTGTGGCCGTGTCTGGAATCACGCAGCCTGGATTCCAAGCCCGATGTATTCGCTTTATCAGGTCTGCCCTGCAGAAGGAATTCTGTATTTTCCAGGTCAACGCAACTGAGAAGGCTTGAAATAGGGGACAGGGCAGGAAAAAACCTACTCAGCTTTGCAATTCCCCTGCACATTCACCCCTTGGAGGTTACTGTGCGGAAAGAAAAACTCAATTCCTCCCCCACTTGAGCCCCCTTAGTTTGTGCCCGATAGCGTCTTCCCACCCCTGGATTCTCCCCAAGCTGTCTCCAGCATGTCAGAGGGAAGGGCAGTCACCCCACCTGTGATTGATGTAACAGGCTTGGGCTCAGGCAGAGCCGGTCTTGAATCCCACGTGCACCCTTCTCAGCTCCAGGGTCTGGGACCGTCATGGAGGCCATCTGAGTCTGCCCCTCATCCAGAGCCCATGACGGGTGGCCCAGTGCTGTCCCTGCTTTCTTCCTTGCCTGACTCCGAAGCAAGCTCTTCAGAAAGGCTCTTGCCGCTCTCCCCACCGTCCTCCGTGTGCTATTCTGTCGGCTCCGAGGCTCTTCCCAGGCACCCCCGACCCGGATTCTCACCGCCTTGGGGATCTAAGCGCCAGGCCTTTGAGTCACCACTCTCCCTCGGCTCCTTTGAATTTGACGCTTTGGACTCTCCCCCTTGTCCTACATGCAAACCCGGCCCATTTGGGGCAAACGAACCCACAACACATTCTAACACCCAAGCCAAGCGGCAAGCCTCGGGCTCCGTGTGTCTTGGGGGGAAACGTGAAAATGCGGAGGCCGTGTCTGCTTCAGGATTGTTGAGGGATTCGTGCGGATGCACCAATTAGAGGCTTGAACCAAAAAAGTTTCTCCAAATACGTGAATTACCTCTCTCCTCTCATAGTACAATGACTGTATATCTATGATTTTCCTTCCCAAATATGAGTTCAAGTAATCTCTTTTGAAGTTTGTATAATATCTTTTTTTATGAAGTTAATGCAATTTACTTAACCACTTCCCCATTGTGGGACATTTAGGATGTTTACAGTTTCTTGCTGCTGTACCCAGTGTGTGGCTGTAATCATTCTTGCACACACACACTTTGTACATAATTGCTTATTTCTATTTGGAATATGTAAATAGTATGAATATAGTACATGAGGAATATATATAGTACACTAATGATATTCTGTATATACTTATAAATTACTTATATATTATATATAATTATATATGATATTACTGTATAATTATGTGTATAGTATATATATACTAAGTATATAAGGAGTATAGGTGTAGTATATGATATATATTTATGTATAATTACATATATATCAGTATACAAATACATATTTATGCTATTTATTCTCCCATCAGCTGTGTATGAGAATAGCTTTAGCATACATTCCATTGCTAACACTGGGAATGATACTTAAAAAATTATTTAAATCCTTGCCAATTTCATAGAAATGATATCTCATT